CCTGCGGCAGAAGAGGGCGGCGCTGCGGCGCAGGGGGTGCAGCTTCGAGAGCCCCAGGTACCGCGGCCGGGGAGGGGTGCGTGCGGCCGGGAGGGGCGGGAGCGGGGATGCGGCCACGTGGGGGTGGCGGTCCGAGGGCCCCGCGCGTGGTGAGGCCGCGAAACAGGAGGGGCCTCCCGGCGGGAGGGCCCGGGGTCCCAGCAGCAGCCACCAGACGCCTCGGCCCCGGGGGCAGGCCAGGCACCGGCCGCTCGCGGGTCTTGGGCCGTGGAGAACGTGCCCTGCCCGGTTCTTCTCAGGCTCAAGGACAAGGTCGGGGAGAAGCCCCTGAAGTCTGCCCCTCCGCCACCCTTGCTCGCGCCCCGGGTGCCGCACACCTGCTGCCTCCGGCCCCGCCCATCGCTGCCCACCCCCTCCGTGCAGCGCCCCTGGGCCCCTCCGGGAGGACGCTTCCTTCGGCTGAGGGCGCCAGCGCCCTTCCCTCCCGTACCCTCCTTAGCAGACGCCCTCCTGAGCGACCAGGGCTCCCACTGTGCAGCCCTGCCTCAGACACACCCTCCCTCTGCCGGCCGGCCGGCCTGGAACTTGGGGTGCGTCCTCCTGCTTCCCCGGTCACTCCGCTTGGCCCTACCTTTAGGACCCACCCCCTTGCTCAGCACCCAAACGGCCCCTAACCAGACTTCCTAAACCCACAGCCCAACTGGCCCTTGAAGGGGTCTCCTACAGCTCTGTGGCACACCCTGGAGGAGCTCTCCATTGCCCACAGCAGTGATGGGGGCTGGGGTGGGGAAGGAATGATGAGGACGTGGGACTTCAGCCCCCAGTGAAGCGGAAAAGGAGGTTCTCTTGCTAAAGCCTTAATATAAGGTGAGACCCTTGATCGGACCCTTTTCCAGCTTCACTCCTTGGCATTCTCTGCCCACCCTTGGTGCTCCAGCAGTTCCGATTTGAGTGCAAGAACGCTGAGGACAGGGACCCCAGCTGTGCCCACACCAGGCCCACTACAGACATTTACTGTGTGCAAATGAACAAATGTCCGGCTGCTGTTGATTCCTCCCTTGTGCTGTTTCTTATCCATGCCCTTACTCCTGTCATGCTCTTCTGTACATAGATGGTCCTGAGATTTCCGCTTTGGGGAGCACCTCTTTCCTTCCACCCCGGCTGAGCTCTGTGTATCTGTCAGCTCCTCCCCATTTCACTGTGTAGTGAGCTGGGTGGTCTGTCTCCCCTGCTAGACTAGGAGAACGACAGATTCAGTCCCTGTCTTCATGGGGCTTCCACACTTGCGGTGCGCAAGTCGCACTTGCAGCTGGTGCGTGAAGCGTGAGGACAGGTATACCAGGAGATGGAGAGAACCAGCAGCTGGGTCCCTCAGGCCCGCGACAGTGTCTAGGGTCATGCTGTTCTGTAACCCACGCCATCTGATTCCAGAGCCCTTAGCACCTGTTGAAGTTGAACGCTTGTCACTGTCGCTAGATCAACTAAGGAACTGAATTTTAAAATTTTATTTCACTTTTAGTGTAAGTAACTGCCTATAACTGATGTTTGCCATAGCGGACAGTGACAGTTTAGAAAAGTCTTCCTTTAGTCTTCCTCAGAATTCCCACTTGTGTTCCCACCCTCTCCTTTGTGTTCCTGGCCTCATGCCTGAAAGCCTAAGTGACTTCTTGGGCTCCAAGGTATTTGTTCTCCATTTGAGAGGCCATGACATCTTAACAAGCCTTCAGATAATGATTGCCAGCTTTTCTGATCATAAAATATGATTTTGTGGGAGGAAGTTTGAAAACCTGAGAAAGACATAAAGAGGCTAATTACATTTTTATTGACACATAGTCCCACCAAGTATCATCTGGTCTTTTTCTTCCACGTGAATGCATGTATTTAAATTAACGTTTTAAACTTGCTCTTTCTCTTAATATGCTCCAAGAAAATTAAATTGCTTTATGTTGTTCTCTCGTATGGGTGTATTACAACCGTTTCCCAAAAATCAGACCTAGCTGGAAAATAATTAGCCTCGAAACCTGGAGATCAGAAATGCCAGCCCCAATCAGCCTGTCCTTGCCTTACCTGCCTTATAGAGTAGCCACCGGGCAGGAGTCTGCACACTCAATCCTCAGTTAGTGTACCTCGCGTGTAGGGCCTTTGAGAATCTGGCTTACCCACAAATACCCAGTCACCTTGTCGGCGTGGTGGGGGACACATTCTCAGTTTGGTGACTCTCTTGTTTAAATATCCTGTGCCAGCTCTGATAACCAGCATAGAGCAGAGCAAATTAATGGATGTTGAAAGAGCAAGGAATGGCCCGAGCATTGGGCATCCAGGGAGATGGCAGGGAGAAAGAACAGCAAGGAGACTGGAGCCATCAGACAAGGCACTTAGGCTTTTAGACAACTTTCCCTGTGTTCACCGTGATTAGTAGAAGACATAGCAGATGGTATTCAAGAAGAAGGGCGTGGAGCGGGACAGACATCAGTTGTAGTTTCTGCATTTTCACTCACTACCATGTGGGTACTTGGGCAAGTTGCTTAACCCCTCTGAGCCTTTGTTAACTCATTTGTAAAATGACCTGTCTGGCAGTGATGATGCAAGATTTTGTGGGGATACTGCAGCTGGGTACCAGGACTTTCACACTGAGCTATATCCCTAGCTTTTTTTTTTTTTTTTTTTTTTTTTTGGTTTTTTTTCTCCGGTACCGGGAACCGAACTCACGACCTTGCACTTGCCAGGCAGGCGCTTTGCTGCTGAGCTAAATCCCCAGCCCCTTTTTTTTTTTAAATTTTAAAGAGAGAGTGGGTCCCACTAAGTCACTGAGTTGCCAGGCTGAACTCAACTTCAGCCTCCCAGAGTGCTCATTTTACAGGCATACACACTATGCCTGGCTTGATGCAAGCTTTAAATGAACTAACTTACACAAAGTGCTAAACAGT